CTGCGTGCCCCGCCTCATGGCCCTCTCCGCCGAAACCTCCCCCGCCGCCATCCGCGAAGCCATTCTCCGCGCCCTCGGCGTCGAAGCGAGCCTTCAAGTCTGTGCCCTCGTCCGTGACGAGGTCTTGCGCCGCCTGAGCGCCGGCGGGCCCGCGACGACGAATCCCATGTCCCCCACCTCGGCCGTCCAACATACCCCCGACCCGCACAGCGCAGACACAAGCCTCGTTGGCCCGCCGCCCCCGCCCCCGCCACCGGGAAGCGACACGCCCATGTACGGCGACGAGGACCCGGACATTGTCCTGCAGAACGCGCTGCGCCAGCTGCAGCAGGAGGAAGCCGAGGCCGAGGCCACGGCGGCCGCGGCGAGAGAGGAGCGCGAGCAGCGGGAGCGCGCGCAGGGGACCGCTGCGGCGGCGCTCGCGACGCCCGCCGTGCAGAGGGTCGTGTCCGCGTCGAACCGGTTCATGCCGTCTACGCCGGAGCTGAACCTCACACCCATCAAAAACGACGACCCGGTCTCGGCCAACGAGCGGCCGCTGCGGTGCCCGTTTTGTGTAAATCAGCGTATGCTTAGGACGATTAAGGAGGCTGTCGAGCATATGTCCACGCACGTTGTTGTCTAGGGGAATTCGATTGCAGAAGACTGGGAAGGGTATTGAAGGTGTGGTTAGGGTTTAGCAAAAGGGAGCAGTGTGATTATTGAACGGAAAATGGAAATCCCCCAGAAAGGGATGTTCCAGGAGTTGGTGATCCATGTTTCGGGTTTACCGACGTATATCAGGAGGATTGTTATAGAAGGCGATGGACCAGTCACCACTTTCACCAAACGAAAAAAGGTTTTTTGCTGTCGGAATATGGGAAGCAGGTATCAAGGGAGAAAAAGCACTGGGAGAAAAGCACAGTCACGTTGCGCGTGTGTAGTTGTGTATATAGGTGTATGAGTGCGGGGATGGGAGGGAGTCACTACTTTTTGTAACCTATTATTATTATTATTGTTGCACAAGGTACCTTAATGATGAATCGTATAAACGCCATCTCCTCTTCACTCATTCTTACTTATCCGACGTTATCCAGTGCCCCTCAAAAGCAAGAGACAAAAAGCTCAGCCCCCTACAAAAAGGGGGGCCTACGAAAAGATCCTTGTAGGCCCATACCGACCTCTGCCGTCATGTGAAATGAAGCCAGGACTTTTACAAGAAACGGGACCCTTAGGTGCGGCGCAATTCAGAGACGAGCTGACTGAAGGCTGGAATAAGCTGGAGACGGGTAGGTCCTGATGTATATTCATCTGTGGGGCGAGGCGCGGACAGCAGGTTGTTCAAGTACACGTCTCTGGCTCGTGCACATGGTTGACATCCTCACGCGTATGAAGACTAGGTAGGGCTCATTGAACGGGCTCATCTTGATTCATCTCTGGCTAAAATACGGGTACAGGGCCCATCCCTTGCCCATCTGTCCGAACCTCATCCTCATTCGTCCTCACGTTCGTTCGCTCATCATCAGAGGAATCCCCAGAACTGGTCTTTCTTCCCGTGCACTTTGCCCGAGTACTGACGACCAGGTCAACGGAGGGGAGTTCCTGTTGAGAAAGGGTCTCGTGCTAAAATAAAAAAGAATTGTGACAGCTCAAGTCAGCCGTCTAACCAATAAACGCCCGCCAATGTCCTCTCTCCGTGGTCCTCGTGGTGGAAACAAATCCGTCTTGCGTCTTTTTGAGAAACTCTTGGACAGATATAAACCCTCGAGGGCTGTATCAATACTTCTTTTTCCCCATCATCAACGTCAATAACCATCAAAAAAAAAAATCGTAAGTGGGGACCCATTCGAGGGCCAAAGAAGTGTAAAAAAGGGAGCGTAGCCGCTTGCGCGAAGGAGAGTCGATCCACTGGCGCATCATGGTCGTATATCGAGTCCAGCTACTAGGAGAAAACAATATAGAAGTGAAATCAGCCATCGCCTGTGTAATAAGACAGTAGATAGCAACGCGTCGCGTGCGCTGGGAATCATGAAGTGAGAATGCAATGGCGGGTGGGGGGTATGCTTTTGTCTCTCAAGTAGTCGTGAAAACCATCTAGGAAAAAGTCCGAGCCGAGGAGCACCTTGTTGAGCCTTAGACCTGCTCGACGTAGAGGAGGAGCTTTTCGTTCCTTTGCAAGGCGTAGTCCAAGTCGTTGTCGCTCATGAGGTTGGGCTTGTCGCCGGTGGGTTCGTCTTTGTAGAAGAGCTGGATTTCCTCGCCTACTGGGATCTTGAGCCTGTCCACAATCTTGTCGTACAACTGCTGGAAGGAAATGTCTGTTGCAACCCGGATCGCAATGAGATCGCCGTTGAAGTAGAGCTTGATCTTCATGGCTTGAACTTGACCCTGACCGATGGCAGGGGAAGGCTGTGACTGCGACAGAGATGATGGCTGCCGGTTCATTCCGGGCTGGCCCATCGCTCGTTGCTGAGCACCGTACCCATTGCCGTTCAGATTATTCTTGGAGGATTGACGTGAAGCCGCATCTGCTGGTGATTCATTCGATGAAGGCTGCGAGCCGCCCGATAGTCGATATTCGTCGCTCGGCGCGTTGGGGTCCATCTCGTAGTCGCCTTCTCTGGGGGCGAAGAATTGCTTGACGAGGGTACACCTTGCAATGTAGGCAGGCTGCGCAAGGAGGTTCTTAACGTAGGCATCTAGGTTGTGTAGCCGGCCTTCCGTGATTTGATCTGTCACGTAGTTTACCGGACCAGGCATGTATGGAAGTGTACGCTTTTGCGTGCCGGTGTTTCCTGCCTCGGCCGGGAACTCGGTGAGCAAGGCAATCTGGAAGTCGTAGAAGTCTTCGTAGTATCTGGACAGTTCCCAGTGACGGCCATCCTCCAACACTGCTTCAATGACGAACCAGTACTTGTCTTCCGCAAAACAATACCTCGGAATGCGGGCTGAGATGGGAGCGTAAAGCTGCGACGCTGGTTTGGCGTAGGGACTGGGTTGGGCAGCTTGCTGAGAGTTACGTGATTGCTGGTAGCCAGCTTGTTGTTGCTGCTGCTGTTGCTGTGTAACCTGCATTAGCCTCAAGGTTTACATAACATAACGAGGAGAAACGTACATAGTTGGCACCGTTCTGTGAACTGGTGCGCCCGCCTTGTTGAAGACTCATGCGTTCCATTCCTTGCTCGATGGAGCCCTGTTGCGGTGCACCGTTGTCAAACTTGCCCAGTGTGATGCTGCTGTTCTTGTAGTCGGCCGCCATCTTCTTCCATTCTTCGACCTTGGGGATGCCGGCCTTCTTGATAGCCCCGGAGGCGTCTCCGACAGCGGTGTCGGTCGCCATATCGCGTATTTCGACAAAAGATACGGGTATCAAGCCGGGTCCTCCCAATCTGCCGATAGGCTTGGCGACAAACCACTCGGGGTTTGATTGAGCAATGACGATGATGGCCTCACCAGCCTTGGCCTCCAGCTCGTCGGCGCGCTCTGCAACGAAGTCGTACATGACGATACCATAGACCATCGCGCCGGACCTGCTGCCGGACCTGGACATACGCTGCGTCGGCTGAGTTGCGGGTGGTGATTGCATTGCGCCAGGGGGCGGCGCAGCCTCGGCATAGCCGGAGTCGTGATCGGGGTTCTTTGAAATTGTCGGAGACATGGTCGGTGGCCGGGGCATAGCACCGTCGGACTGGCCACTATCTCTTTCGGTTCGGCCTAATGCTTGGAAAAAGGCTACAGGTACGAGGCCGCGGGCGTCGGGCAGTGCTGGATTGCAGGCTTCGTACCAGTCGGGGTCGTTCTCTCTGCCGATGACGTGGAAGAAGTCGCCGCGCGAAAAGCTCAGCTCTTGGTTGGACTGGGCTTCATAATCGTATAGGGCTCGGATAACCTGGTAGGTGGATTCCAGCGGTCAGCATACGGAGTAAATGCGATTGCGTAGTTGTCAGCTTTTCCCCCACCATACGCATACGCGCATGGTGGAGGCCCAGGCGCATGGGGCAGCATGGGGATTGAGGCATCTATCAGCACATACCTTCTTTGGGGGGACAATAGCAACAGCAGACTTGGGGGCGATGTTGACTTTGGCATTGTCCTTTTCGCCCTTGATGGACCGACGGAGGGCCTGCATAAGGTGAGGGACTGTCAGTAAGTGATCGGAAAACCGATTTCTGGACATTGATTCGCGATTCATCGTGGGTATGAGCATGGGCGCATGCGGGGTTGCTCATATACGGCGGAAAGTGGGAGAAAGGGAACGCAAAATGTCGCAAAAGGGCTGAGGGCAGAGGTACTGAAAGGTAGAAGCAGAGCGCATGCAAGATTGTGCACCAGTTCCTTTTTGGAGAGGATGTGAAGTTGTGAGAAGAAATCGCAAGAACACAAATGTGTTGTTTGGTGTTGGCGGTGGTGACATGCGCGCGCACGACTGGGTTTCTGGAAAGAGGGAGAGAAACTGTTGATAGGGGTGGGAAGAGGGGGAAGAAGATGGAAATGCGATGCAAAAGGCAGAGAGAGAGGATTGCACAACAGCAGGTACCAGGAGGCAGGAGGGTGGAGGATGACGAACCTTCATCTTGTGTGACGCTCCCTCACTTTGGGGAGGAGAGGACAGCTGCAGATTCTGGCAAGAATAAGGTGTGATGCTGTTGCGAAAAGGAAGTTGAATTGGGAGTGGTGACGGGGGGCCCTGTTGCACCACACGAGAGAGAGTACGAAGTGGTTAGGTACTGAGTGAGTGAGTGACCACTGACTGATGTAAGGCAGGTGCAGGTCGATCAGGTCGAGAGAGAGAGGGAAGATAGGGATAATTGGGTGGGAAATGCGTGATTGGGCGCGAACCAGGGGGTGTTCGTAGGGGGTGGGCGTGGATTGCGTGGATCAGTGTGCAAGTACAAGCGACACTGCGACAGGAGGAGACCTAAATGTCGACGTCCGTTGAAGGTGAGGTGCAAGTAAGTGTGCCAGTGTTGGTATTGGTATTGCAGATGCAATTCGTGTGTGTATACCAGGCGGGCTTCTCTCCAAAAAGATGAAGGAAGGAAGGTGTTGCTAGGTTGGGTTTGAGTTGAGAGTGTTGTTCCTTCCAACGATGGCTTGTTTTCTTTTTTTTTTCCCTTTTTTTTCTTCCCTTTGACGGAGGGAAGGAGAGAGGGGGGGGGGGGGATTGATTGATTGGGACTGGTAGGTTACTGGGACCAGGCTGATGCCAGTGCGAACGGGAAGGAAGGAGGGGCGATGATGACTGGGTCGCACTTTCCCTTCGGATTGCGTTCCTTACTTGAGTCGTGGGGGAGGTGCGGTTGGTGGTGGAAGGCACGGAGTGGTGGTGGTGGTGGTGGTGGTGGTGGTGGTGGTGGTGGTGCTTGCCGTGGCCGTTGGGCTTTCTCTGAAAAGGAAAGCGACGGGCTGAGAAATGGTGCGGCAGGCGGAAAGATCGACGGGTAAAAGTCGTTCGTTCCTTCTTGGGAATGTTTCTTTATCCTCCTGAGGTCTTCTTGTTCGACGTCGTCGGCCTCGGTGTTTGGCGTAGGTTTCCTTTCCTTGCCTTTCCTTTCTCTTTTCTTACACAGCTCCTTTCTGTTCTGTCCGTGCGACTTTCGATCTTTCTCTCGTCTGCCCGTTTGTGCGTGGCTTTCCAATACGCTTTTACCACGCGATCAGTTTCGACAATGTCCTTCCGAGTTTTCCGCTTCGTTTTTAATTTGCTTACTTCACACGGAGCAAAAAAAGAAAAGCAAAATCTTGTCCACTGGATATCGGGCAGGCGCAGTACTTCGTGCGATTGTCTCTCCTCTGCTTTCTTATTCGGCCTCGGAAGACGGCTGTATTTCTCTCTCTTTCTCGGCCTCCGAAACAGGGTGACCCGCGACTCAACTCGGGCTACACGGTACTCGGCGGGGTCGCAGGGGTCGGATGTGAGGTTGGCAGATGCACAACTTCTCGTCGTTCCTCGATCAATGACTGTCGTCCAAGACTCCCAACTTGAGCTTTTCGAATACGCGACCAAGTGCAAAGGCTGCGCTGGAGTGCGACGTGCGGCGGACTTGCTGCGAGCGACCTGGAGGGTTGAGGGGAGGTGAGGGAAACGACTCGAGAGAAAGCGGCGCGGACGGGCGAGGGTAGAAAAGGCTCGTTCGCCCAACCAAGCATCTGCCCAAGGTGCCTGGGTACCCCGTACTCACTACCACCTACTTTCCTCAATTTACATTACGGAGCGCTGCGGCACACACATACCTAGACACACACACACACCATGACCACACTCCAACGCCCGGGATGGACTCCCATGGCCCAAATCCCACCAGACCAGACGAATCGAGGGGGAGACGGTTGGAGAGGGCTTGACTGGTGGAACTCGCCGACGAGGGTCACCGACACCCCGGTCTGTACCCGTCTGTCCAGTCTGCCCACTGGGCGTGAGTGGGTAAATTGCGCTAGGGTTACGGGTGGGTGTCCTGCCCTCCAACGAGGGTGTCGACTTGCAGGTTGCTATGGATGGTGGCATGCGTCTCGCCACGGGAGTATGTGGGCAAAGGCCTCGTGCGCTGTGCCTGTCACCTTGTGTGCCGCGTCGCCTGCCTTTTGCGTGCTCTGCTGCCAGGCTGTGCGAGACAATGCTACTGACCGTTAACAGTGCTTCAAGTCCATGGATGCCATCCATAGGGGAATGTTTCTTCTTCAACCTTCGTCTATATTTGCTTCAGCCTTTGGCGCACCAAGTCTCCGACATCCATCACTCGGCAAAACACTTACACCATCCCAGCTAGAACAGCAGCCACCGTCAGAGATCGCTCCGTCTGGTAACGCAGCAACAGCAAATTCGGGAGGCACCCGGTGACAGTTGACTGACAGGCCAGTTCGAAGGTATGGAAGCGGTCGCCCACGGGCACGGAGACTAAAACCGTCTTACGTACGGACCGGGCATTGCGCGAAACCACAGCGGGCGTGGTGGACTGGTGGTCCAGCAGCAGCAACCCTCAGATGGAAAGCTTAAATCACCCCCCAAGTCTGCCATGGAGATAGCAGTCGGGAACTGTCACGAGAGCCGATTTTACACTATACAGTCCTCCTTCCACTCAACGGAATCACAGAGAGCCAGCTCTCGGTACATTGGACGTTGAGCTGTCCACGCCCGATGGATGCCTTTGGTCGCATTTCTTGTGCGGCATAGTCATTTCAGGGCCCAGGGACTAGTAGCTCGAGTGCCAGTCGCACCTTGCAGCTGCATGTCTCGCCCTTCTGCTCCCTAAGCCTCATGCTGGAGGCAGCCACCGGCTATGAGCCGAAGCACCATACCTAGCTCAAATCCTTGGACGACAGTGAAGGATTGCGACAGGCCAGCTGTAGCAGCAGCACAAGACTCGGTGCTGTGGGTGCGTAGTGCCTATGACGACGGCACTGGATTTCGTCCAAGGGCGCTAGAGCAGCTAGCAATGGGCATACAAGACGACTACCAGTCAGCGAGCATAACTATTACCCTTCGACGACAAGCTAGAATCCTCCTTCGTTTTCAGCTATCGTCCGAGACGCCCTCGTTTAGCGCACAGCAGTCAGCTCTCCAATAGTCTTGTCCTTCTCTACAGCTTATCGCAAGAAGCTCTGGAGCTGTTCAACCGTCAACAAACCAATAGCCCGCAGCAGTCGACATCGCACAGCGAGGAGCCTGGCTGGCGGTTGGGCCGCTTGCCGTCAATACTGTCATGCCCTGGACCCCATCCCCTGAAGGCATCCTCCCCCGCGGTTGCTCAGCCTTTGCCACTGTCTTCCTGGGCGCGCACATGGCAAAACCTCCACTCAAACACGGACCTTTTTTGGATTTTCGCAAACACCCCTCCTCGAGCTGGATTGAGCTTTGCACGCCCCCATACGAAACATCAGTTTACAACCAATGACAAGAGCAAAGAGCTTTTGACACTTGCTTTTGCATGAACTGACCTCGCTCTTGAACAGCTTATCCCGTCTCTGGCAGAGTTGGATGAGCTCCCCCGGATGGCAGTGCGACGCAGGGGACTGGTCAAGAGATGGAAACTCATGGCGGCACCTTATCGATTAACGCAAAGACTCCTTCGCTCCCTTGTGATCCCGAGCAATGCAGGAAGAAGGGGTATCCTGTGCCCCCCATCTATCGGCCACAGTCTAGCAGAGTTCTTCCTTCTTCTCAATCAGGGACAGCTCACTTGAACAAATGCCTCTTGGTGAGGACCCCTGTACGCGGCGGGCCCGGACGGTAATTGTCTCTTTGGTACCCATTGAGTTCCAGCCTAATAAGTTCAACGGCCTGGACGCCACTTCGGCCTCAACCCAACCTACGGTCGAGCCCTGTCACACGGAATCTTTCCCCGGCCACCAGGCCGAGACACACGGCCTATCCGTACCTTAGACCTCTCCGGTATAACGTGAGATTGCAGCGTCTACCCGTACGGCCTGTCGATGTCGCGATTAGTGTCATCAACAAAGCTGCACTTCTACGGCCAGGCGGGAGGCTTATAAGTCTTGCGCAGACTACGACGTTGTCACAGATCTCATCGGTTGCCATGCGGCTTCCGGGCGGCCTGGAACGCCGGGGATGACGCAGCATATCCCACCAAAAGGTGCTAGCAAGCAATTGCATGGCAAATATCCCGACGTTTATTACAAGGGTCTCGTGGATCCAGTGCGATCCATGCCAAGTTGGCATCGCGAATCTTTTTGATATCGTCTGTTACTACTGGTCATGCGGACATCGTCAGGCCAGTATGGGTAATGGCACACATTCGACTTCTTATGCGCATTCCAGGCTTTCTTACAGTGGCCTCCACCGTCGAGACGGCTCAAAACCTAATCGGTTTTTTGTCTGAACGACATGGCGATCTTGCCCTACCGTTGGAGGTTCAAAGCCTGCGCAGTGAGAAATACACTTGTCTTCACGCTAGCAAAATACGCTTACGGGGATTCAGAAGTCTAGGCCGGGCCAGAATGCGTCTTAGCCAATTGATCAGCAATGAATGGAGGACCAGCTTACGCGCCGACGTGTCGGTTCAGGCATCCTCAATTTGGCGCGCGCATCCACAAAAACAGACTTGCAGCTACCGTCAACCAAATGAACCAACAATGTCGAATAGCATTCCGCCGTTGTCAAAGTGCATTTTCTTCCATTGGTGCCGTCAGAATACCGGGCCTTTCTGCGAACTACATGTCAGGGCCAACGGCGTTGTACCTTGCATAGACGTTGCCCATGCCCGCCTCATCAGAATGACTTCATCTACCGACTTCCCTGGCACCGCTGCTCTTCCTAATCCGTCCCAGGTTTCCGACGCCTCGAATAGATTGCTACGTTCTCCATTCCCCACCCGTGGTGCTCTTGATGGCGCCTTGGTCTTGTCCAGGTCCCAGGTGCGCTAAATGGCTGTTGCAGAGAGAAACCCCGCCAACGACCCGTTTCAGTGGGACGGTTCAGGAACGGTATCCTGGCCCCTTCTTGGCCTTTCCACTGCCTGGCGGATGTGGCAGGGCTGGCTGGAGAAGAGCTGGATGCTTTTGATCCGCATCTTCCTGCCGCTGCTGTCGCTCGCTAGCGGTGTTAGGTTCCATACAGCATTCACGGAACGCGGCTGGCTCTCGAGATAGACGCGGATCGAGTTGACGTTGCAGGGGCTCATTTGGGATTACCAAGCCTACGGTACGGACACTCTGCACTGCAACTTGCGCCGGCCCCATTTGGCTCTTACACCAATGCTTGGTACGGGATATACCCAAAGCAGCAGCACATGGAAGCACTTTAATGGACATGACGTAGGCCGGAATATTGGCAGCAGAGCCGCGTCTTCTGCCGACCCCACGGCACCATGTCATCCCCCGTTCTCATGCACACCGATACACAGTTGATCAAGTTGGCCTGACATGTCTCCCGACTATCCTACTTGTCGTCGTTTCCAGAAGCTTCGCAGAATCCTAGCTCCCCGTAAATCGCATCTGCAACGGCGCGTCGTACGTCCAGTGCCATCCATGGCATGCGAAACCCGCTGATATCCAAGCAAGACAATGCGCCAGGTATGTCAAGCCCGATAGCGAGACTCACATTCCAAATACCCCGGGTCACGTTAACCCACACTTTTGTATTTATCTTGGCTACTGCTACATTACTGAGCTTGCGGAGCAAGGTCTAGCTTTAACCTCGTGCCGCAGCTATGTTCGGATCCAGCCCATCCCGTTCGCGGGCACGACACAACTTGAAACTCGACGTCCCATGTCGCCTGAAACGGGGCAGAGAACGGCACCATCACCAATGAAAAGCTAGGAAAATGCACCCAATCTTTGCGATTTCGAGTGCTTTCAGAGTTCCAAATAGGGTGGAGAGGAACCCTGGCCCGTCCCTGGTTGATGATCTTCAAGTCAGGGTTGCCTCACATCGGGATGCCCTGGCCAGAAAGTGAGACCTGTCAGCCCCAATCGCGGGGTGAGTGAGAGAAACGGAAGTGCAGTACCATCTTTCTGAGCATCGAATACCTAGCCTTGACCCTGAACGCCCGAGTAGAATGGCTTATTGAGCCAACAGTCGAATACCCTGTTGAGATGAAGGGCGATCACTTACGGTAACGATGTCTCTAGTCTTCTACTATCACGAGTCGTCAGCGGCGCCAACAATATCAAAGTGAACGGGCAGACTCAGTAGAACAAGCTGCATTCGGCCAATGGACGCCAATCGTTCTCTCATCAGTGCCTTAAAAAAGCAAATTCAGAGAGACAGGCTACACCTCTTCACCACCCATATTTACACCTCGAAGTCAGGCCGAAACAACCACGGAAAGACAGCCGGCATGCAAAGTCCCGTTCACACCATTCCATAGCGCCGATCTTCCGCCGCCGACTCGCGGGCTCTAGAGAGGAGACCAAGTGCCACTGCCGTTCGGTGGTCGACTCTTGGTAGCGAACGGCTGACTTGGCGTAAGGGGAAGGGATCTCTCGCATGGCCTTGGTCCACGATGCAACGCCAGACCACCTGGACGCATCCTCCTCGGCCCTTGTAGAAAGCGCCCTTCTTTTAGTCTTTGTCGGCCTTCCTCGGAGTGGCAAACCGTGGCGGCCCTTCCCGCGGGACACCACTGTCCCCGGTCAAATCAGGTATTTTGGACTCGGATTCGGCACACGGCAGACGGTCTTGCGGGCCAATCAATTGTACGGACCAAAGGTCTGCCCGTCCAGAAATAGCATGCGCAGTCTCCTTTGACGACCAAGCATAGTATAAGGTGGTTGGGGTTACAGAATGCTCTCGCAACCCTGCTCTCAGTTTAAGAGGTGACACCTGTTCGAGTGGCTTCACAGAGCATTGCATTTTCAAGAGGCCCGGTATGCGACATGAGACCTGCCGTCCATGTGGAGTAATACTCGGCTGTCTTTCGCTTGCCGTATTCCGAACAGGATTCGTCGTGATTTATACGCGTGTACGAGCATCCTGTGGAGAAGATCTGCCGCCTTCTCAACGGAGGATCTTAGCCAGCTAGATCATGCAGATGATACTTGTTGATTCCTGGTGACGTCTTCCGCAAGTCCGGTCTCTATCATGACAAGCGAGAGATTGCAAGTTCTCTCCTCCGCCAAGAATACAGAGCAATACCGCGAGACATACAAAGTTGTCTTACAACACCAATAGGACCTTCCTCGGCGCTCATCTCTTGGGCGTGAAGCTTCACCGAAACTCAACCCAAAGCATCCTTTATCAAGCACCCCTATCACCTTGTTGTTTCCATTCGGTCCCTTCCCCCTAGCTTGAAAGCTTGCTCAGACAATGCTATAGCTTCTTAGCCTTTAACCTTTTTGGTTTCCCATTCAGCTAATACCATCCATCACTCCCTCGATGTACCTGTCCATCTAAGCCCGGGATGAATGGCGTGGTGAGATGGGTGGACAGACGCCCGGGACCCCGTGCGGGTTGTGCGTGCGTCTGCAAGTGCACGGCCGGGGGATGTCATACCGCCCGAGGGGATTTCTGCTTCGAGCTGTTGTTTTCTTCGAACCAACGACAAGCCGCAGGGAGAAAAAAACAACTTCCGAGAGGGAAAGCTCGAAAGATTGAGAGTGAAGAGCAGAGTTTGGCCTCATGATTTTGTGGATTTCCAACATCTTACCGCTCTTGCTATTGTAGGCTTACACCATAAGCTTTAGCACGGCCCGCCCCTAGACCATCTCCAATGAACGTCTTTTCTCTTTCGCTCTTTAAGAACGGGAATGAGATGCCCGTGGTTCGCCTGAACCTATGCCCGGTTCGGATGAGTTTATCCCGCCTGCAGCTAGTTGTACTTGGAGATGTCTATGCGAGAGTCGCTGGGGTCTAGGTCATATTTGTGGAGGAACTCGGCGGAGGTGGAAGTGTGCAGGTAGGTCAGTAGGTAGGTAGATTGGCAGGCAGGGAGGTAAGTAGGTTGGTAGGGTAGGCAAGCTATCTTCCTCGGCCCTGATCGGGCAGTTAGTATTGTGCGGGCATGCTGGAGGTTGAAGTCGAGATTGAAGTTGAGGCTTGTACGTCTCTCCGGCGTTACGGTCCCGTGATGCTCGGTGAAATTTTTACTAGACTGTGATCCTGTTAGCCTTTCCTTCGTGGCCTAGGCTATGACGGGGGGCGTGGTGCATCGTTTCCTGACATCGCGGTCTCCATGTCCTAGCCAGAGGGAAAATCATGAATACTCTTGACGGGCTTGTATATGGTACAAACCATCCCTTCAGAAGGGCTTTCTCTGATCCGTTTCCTTCTAGTCACCCGTATTACGTCCATCCAAAAAAGAGGACAATATCAGGATCAGGCCTGCTTCTCGTCTTCAACCAAAACCTCTCTGATTGTGTACTTAAGATCATACCTGCAGTATGGATAGGACGAGACTTCTATCCTCCCCAGCCCCCGATCTTGCAAATCTTGTGGAGGTAGAGGTGAGTGGTGACGAGGACCTCCTGCAGATCTTTCCAGTATACAAATGTACAGCACCAGCACCTGTCCGTCTGCTCGTGACAAGGCAGTAGAAACCGCAGCAAGAACCATCATCTTCATCAACCCCGCCAGACACTGTTTCGGAGGCGATGAATGTTGTTCAGATGATCTCGACGAGACCTTGTCCGATATGTATGGAACACGAGGCCGCGAGATGTCAAGTCTTCTTCCAGCACGCGGGCTGTTGGGATTCGGATAGCGTATTCGTGGCGCCGACTGGTCATGAATAAGTGAGATCCATCGACTCTGGTTTCGCTGCAGCCATACCCTATACAGCTGATGGTAAGTAAGCACCGAGGAAAAGATGGCAGTTGCCATCAAGACGTATGAGAACCACCGTTCAAGCCATTAGAAACGAAAAAATAAGGACCATATTGCACGTCATGAAGAAAAAGTGGCAAATGTATGGATTCCATAAAGTCTGTAGACCGGACTGCTGCCAGGCTGCATAAGGCAGCCTGCAACATTTCCACTAAAGCCGAGTGACGTATATGCAAACGTCCAGAACAAACTCCAGTCGCCATCTAGCCGTCATGGAGATAGATCCCATGTATTTTCCGCTCAAACGCCATCCTGTTGCCTCTGCTAAAGCAGGGCGAACGGGTATCATGCCTATAAAGCCCCCAGAGCCCAAGACCAGCACCAAGCCGGTAACATCGGTCGTCATCAGCGGCGGAGCCACTGTTGCGCAAGCATCGCACCCCTCATCCTGCGCTGTCTTCGAGAAACAGCCGAGGATGTCCCCGCTGCGTGGAGCTGTGCGTAAGCGTCAATGCCATCAGAGGGGGGCGGGCAGCGAGGTAGAAATCGATAATTCGTAAGCTCGTAACCAAGAACTGGTATTAGACGTCTTCGAAGGGCGCAAGTGATGCAAGGTAAAATGACACGCCAATGTTGTGAAACTGTCGGTAGGAAAACAAGAGAAGAAAGAGGAAACGAGGAGGAATGAGTCCACAGATCAAAGCCTGTGGACTTTGAAGAGAGAACCGGAGGGAGGAGTGGAAGCAAGACCTCCCGAGTGGCTTTGGGGTCGGCGGTAGGGGTGGTTAGAAGTTGTGTAGAGCAATTTGTGATGAGAACAGAGATGACGAGGAATTCATATCTGTCCTTTGATGTCAACCTTGCGGAAAGCCTCGCTTCTGGCGGAGTCGAAGAGGGCTCCGGCTTTGCCGGTCAAGAGAGCAATAGACTCCTGTCGTTCCTCGAGCAGATGCTGACCGTTGTAGTCGACAATAAATTGAGCCGCATCAACGTCGGACTCAAAGCCGAGTTCCTCCGTGATGAACCGTAACTTTACGTCTGGCTTGTATCTATGTCCAAGTTAGTAAGGTGATGCCATACTATGAATAGGGATTGAACTTACGCTTTGCAAATGTTGCACAGAGCAGCTAGACGCTCACGAACGACGAACATGTCCATGAGGTACGCACCCATGTTGGGGGTGTCCAGATAGAGCTGGAAGAACTTGTGGTAGTTACCCAAGGCAAGAGCGGACCGCACCTGAAGCGCATGCTTGATGGGTCGCTCCTCCTTCTCTGCTGTGGTTAGATCTGCCAAGGCATCATTCAGGCCGGTACGATTGGCAGTGTGAATAAAGTACAAAATGCGATAGGCCTTGAACTCGATGGGGTTTCCTTTCAATCCCTTTGCGTACAGAGTACGCAGCTGGGTTTGGCACTGATTATACTCACCAAGGTCCCCCTTCTCCAACGCAATTCGGGCGTGGAGTTCGTAAACGGTGACTGTAAAGTCGTTCTTGATCCGCTGTACTGTCAGATCTTGCCGCATGGATTTCAGCTGGTCGCAGATGTAAGAGTAGTTGCCCTCCTTCTTCCACTTCTTCTTCAGGAGATCCATCGTCTTGTGAAGGACGCGCTCGGGCCGAACCATGGAGGCCACGGGAGGAGCAGTCAGACGCAGGTAGCGCTTCTCCAGAGTCTCGCTAGTGCCGACGACGGGTCCATCAGAGGGCGGAGGGCTGGGCGATCGGTACGACGATTTGTAGCCGCCATCGAAGCGGCGTTGACGTTTCTCCAACTGCTTCTGGAACTTACTTGACTTGGGCAGTGGCTCATCGAGGTTGGCGCGTTTGTCGGGGGAGGCGAAGGTGATTCGGTCTTCCAGTGCGTTGGATCGGTTGCTGTTAGTAGTACGCCAAGGCACGGCAGAAGACTTTTCATCCGGGGTAAAATCAGACGACTTTCTCTTCTTGGGGTTGGCAGACACTGAGCCATCATATCGCGATGCAAATGGAGATGAGAGGTTCATAGCGGAGTTGAGCTGGGACTGGCGCTCGTTTCGGATCAGGTCGGAGGGAAAGGGCATCTTCTCCCAGTCGGTTGACTCGAGAGTGCCGTTCTCCATGTGCTGGGAAATGGTCTCCTTCAACTTGGCTTCAATCTCGGGGCGTGGCACGGAGGGGTCCATGTTGTGAGGCAGGAAGGACCGTTGGACGTAATCGCGGACGGAGGGTGGCCATTCAACCTTTCGTGGAGCCGGGGCAGGAGCAACAGGAGCAACTTGGTCGAAGGGAGCAGCCAAGGGAGGCGGCGAAGTACTGTAGGCAGGTGCAGCGGGTGGGGGAGGATACTGGCCGAAGCTTTGTCGAGCCTGGACTGCGGTGTATGCTGGATCTAGAAAAATAGGGTCAGTTAATCAGATCAGAACACCGTGAAGTCGAGAGGAGAAAAACTCACTGGGAGGGTAAGCATAGTTGACGGGAGGTGCTCCATAGGCAACGCCAGGAGGCGGTGCCGGAGGCCAGCTAGTGGGCATCATTGTAAGGGCTGTGAGGATCGATCTTGAATATTTCTGGATCGGAAATTAGTCTTGATCGGTCAGAACAAGTATATCTATCGATCTTTCGTGGTTGAGGCCGACTGAAAAAGGCGTGGAAATGTCGAAGAGTCGAACACGCGTTGGTGGTGGAAGGGGGAAAGATGAAGTGAGGTTGGGGAGAAGCCGTGAAAGGTGAGGGCGGTAACAAAATGACGGTGGCCCGTGTGCGGGATTTCAGGTAATAATAGTGGGGATCCGAGCCAAAAAGTGCCCTTGTGCCTTGTGGCCAGAAACTTTGGTTGTCACTGGCACAGGGTGCCACCTCAATGATTACCTAATGCATCTTGCCTAGGTGCACCACTGCACCCTGATGCACACCGCTAGCAACAAAAGGGACTATCGCTATAGTGGGTCGGCGACATCCCACTTTGAATGCCCAGTTCCCCCTCCACTCGACCGTTGCTTCTCCGTGGGGCAGTTGTGTTGCGAGAGATAAACTGACGCCTGGCCTAGAAGCTGTTGGTTGATTTTCTTCAGCCCCAACAACATTCTACTAAACTTGGTTCGGTGTCTCGAAACCTGTGGAGTTCTCCTCTTCTACCCTCGAATCATGCGCAACCCTTGAAATAGCTGCGAACCCGGCTTCCGACCCCCTCCTCGAACCAGCCCGAGACTGTCCCTGACGTATGCGACAACCCGCGGCAAACAGCCCCTGCCATACTTGAACACCTCCCAACCAAACCATAATTTTGCGCGAGCTTCAGTATCCTCAGTACGCTCGTGAATAATATGACGGATGTTTCTAAAACACATCGACCTCACGACCGCTCTCCGGCCTTCCTACCTACCGGATGAAGTCTTGTTGTTCGTCCAAGACAACGTTGGGCTCTATGAAGGGTAACTACGATAGCTCCGAACCTATTCCGCGCTTCTCGTCGCGATCTAGTATACTAACAAGATATGCTCCTTTTCCAGAAAGTTCAAATTACCTCAACAGCAAAACGGTCAGGTGTACTTGACGTCCCACCGAATCTGCTATGTCGACAAGGACGAGCCGCGCAAGCACTCCGTTGCCCTGGACCTGAAAGACATTGATCGATATGAATTCTACGCGGGGTTCCTGAAATCTTCTGCGAAGATCACCCTGATTCCCAAGCCAATAAAACGCTCATCCCTTCAGACACGAGCGTCTGCGATATCTACACCTGGGAGAAATGGCACAGGGTCACCAGCTCGAGCTGATGGCCCCTACCGACCTCCACCCGAACCAGCAAGCGCAGCAACGTGGGTTTGCACCATCTGCAGCTTCTCCAACCCAGTGCCGTCAAACTTTGATCCAACGACGGCAAACATACACACCCCGCTGCCACCATGTCTTGCTTGCGGCATCAAGCCGACGTTGGCGCACGTCCTGAAGGCTTCTATATCGAATGCGACCAGCCGTGCCCCGCCGGCCACCCCTTCGAGCCCAACAGTCAGCTCGCCCCTCGCGATGCGCCCTCGGTCGACCTCCAACAGGCCCGACGACAGCGCGGGGCCTCCACCTCCCTGGCCAGCGGCCTCGAACATCAATGGCGGTGCCCCACCGAAGCCATCAGATCCAAGCGCCACGTTCCAATGCCCTCGATGCACATTCTCGAATCACCCGTCCCTGCTGTCATGCGAGATGTGCGGGGCGCCCTTAATATCGCAAGATCTGCCCCAAGCAGTCGTCACCCAGGCGCAAACGCAAAGGACAGAGTCTCCAGGCCCGGTCCTCACAACGTCCTCGCCCGGCCAGGATACCGCCGAGAACATCAAAATTTCCTTTCGCGGAGGCGGAGAGAAGATATTCTACGAACGCCTCAAGGGCGCATTGACACAGCGCAAGTGGCTTCTACAGGGCGCGCCGCCCGTACCCAAGAGCAATCGCACAATAGACGACAACGGCGCCCTCGTACGCGCACCCGCGGCGGTCCCCGAGCGCCCCAAGGGCGTGGGCATCGCGGGTCTGGAGCAGCGCGGGCTCGACATGCGCAAGAACAACGAGGTGATGATTGGCAGCGCGTTTGAGGATCTGGACGCCCTGATGGCCTCCGCCAAGGAGATTGTGGCCCTCGCAGAGAGATTTGCGCGGCAGAACGGCGGGACGGGCGCCGAGGCCAACGCTCTGCTGGCCGAATCGGCCAGCCAGCTCGGCCTCGTGACGACAAAGGACATTGTTGGCGGGAGCAGCTCCGAGACGCTGTATCTGTCCGAGTTGTCGAGGAATCTGGCAGAGTTCCTCACAGATGACGCCCGGGGCGTGTTGAAGAAGGCGGGCGGTATCATCAACTTGGTTGACCTGTGGGCCATGTTCAACCGCGCCCGGGGCGGCGTCGAGCTCGTGAGTCCCATGGATTTCGAAAAGGCCTCGCAGATGTGGGAGTCACTCAAGCTACCCGTCCGGCTGCGAAAGTTCAAGAGCGGTGTGCTCGTCGTACAGAGTAGCGATCGCACCGACGAGACCACCATCAAGGCGCTCGTGTCCTGGCTGGACGACTTGCACGAATTCCCGCCGGATAAGGAGCTGGCGTGGGACTGGCGACAGTTTGGCCGCGGGGTGACGGCGCGGGATGCGGCGGAGCGGTTCGGCTGGAGCATCGGCGTGGCGGAGGAGGAGCTGGAGATGGCTGAGGAAAGGGGCGTGGTCTGTCGCGAGGACGGGATCGAGGGGCTCAAGTTTTGGAAGAATTATATTGATGTTGGCGATGTAAAGCACCGCAGGCGCAGGAAGCATCGCGAAGAGGACGAGGTCATGAAGGCGCTTAGAGAGAGTGGGTTGATGTGAAGTTGCGGAAAGCTAGCTGTTTTGTGTGACACTGGACCCTGGATATATATCTATCTCGTGCTAGGTTCGACCTGGCTGGCGCGATTTGTAGACGATTGGAGCGCGCATTACTATTCTACAAGTGTGTCTTTGTGTTTGTGTGTTGATGTGTACGTGTGTATGCTTTGGGGGGTTTCTGCCGGTCTGTCGTCTCTATGTAAGATGCCCAGTTTCCTTGAACCCGGCGGCCTGGGTTGGTACCGCCTCCCAGTGTCTTTAACCCATCTAATGCCAAAAAGAATGAGCCCAGAAACGCCGCCCATATGAACCAATGCCAAAGAGGGAGGTTCTCGATAAACATAAAAACAAGTCATCTGGCCACCATCTGGCAGCTCTTATTCGGAAAAGGGGGGGGGAAACAGATCATGTACTTGGGTCCATCACTTCTCCGCCCTTTCCATCAGACTCAACCTCACCTTGCGGTTCACAACCCCACCAACACCATACGCCGGGATAATACGGCAGATTCTCGCCATGGTGCTGATACCCCAGTTCTTGGCCACGGACTGCCACCTATTCTGCCACGAGACGGGGCTCGCAGCGGCGTTGGGCCGGTTATACACGTCCAACCCAAGCAAATGCAACGGCGTGCTGGCGAGCTGCACCATGGCCGGCGCGGCGAACTGCACGACGGTCAACCCGCTCACCTTCTTCCTCATTTCCTCGCCCATCCGCTCATTCAGCCAAGGGCCCAGTCTCGGCGGGACGTTAAAGCTCGCGAAGATGGTCATGCAGTCGCGCAGCGTGAAGAGCGCGTATGTGAGCATCGGGACGGGGCGGGGCGTGGCGCCGGGGGGACCGAACATGCGCGCAAAGACTTGGTCTTTGTACATGCAGATGCCAATGTTTGCTGTGCTCGAGGCGGCGAATTTTGCGGTGCCCGAGGTTACGGACGAGGCTGGCGTGTTGTGGATGGTGGAGGAGGCGGTGTCGAGGGTGTTCGCCGTGAGGTAGGTGCCGCCGTAGAGGGCGAAGATGAGGGCGAAGGGTTTGGAGAGGACGACGGCGTGGGGGCGGAGGAGGAGTTCTTTTAGGCAGGAGCGGACGCATTCGCCTAGGGGGCGACGGCCGGAGGCGTTTTCCATGATGGAGCTGTGTTCAAGGTGTCAGTTTTGTGGTTTTGTAAAGCGGTTGTACGGATGATTGAGGGTATCGAGGATTATGGGGTAGGTTGCTTACCGGTCAATGATGGAGACCAGAGGCGCGACCAAGGTGCCGGCGCACGCTGCGCTGAAGAGGTCGGCGCCGAGGCGGAAGCCCAGGTTCTTGGTGTTCCATTCTGACTTTGCCTCGCCGATTTTGGACTCCATGTCGACTTTTTGGGCCAGCGCCAGCGGACTTGGGGGTTTGATCTTGAGGTCTGGGGTTACGGGTGCGGAAGCGGCAGCGGCGGCGGCAAGCCCTTGTGGTCTTGAGTCTCGTTCCGCCATGCGGGCGCAGTTGTGTGTATGGATGTTGGAGAGAGGGCGTTGGAGCTTCGGAGGGGAGTGAGAGGTTGAAGCTCTCGCGATGCTTGGCGGCGGTCGATTTCGCAGGCAGCGGGGGGATGGCAGCGAGTGCGCTTGACCGGGTGGTGTCCCGACGTTCGGTTTGCGACGGGTGATGTCAATAGACGGGTTCGGGGTTGGAGGAGGTGACGTATCGGCGTGGGTGACGTCGCGAAGGTTGGAGTTTGGGGAAGCTAAGGAGCTCTCCAAGGACGGGACGACACACACGAATGGGATGGAGGTTCTGTTTGGGGTTGACCTCAAGAGGAAGGATAGGGCGGGGGAAAAGCGAAGGTAATGGAGAAAGTGGTCTACTAGAAGGTGGGAGAGAGGACAATGGAAGACCAAGACGAAAAAGGACAAGAGCTATGGTAGAGCTACACTATGGACACAATCCCATGGTTTGAAGAGAGAGAAACCAGACCAGCCCGGGACGCAGCTTTTTTTGCGACCTTGGTGCCGGGCACGACGCGCCCAATTATGGCCGTCTCGAATAGCTCAGAGTCAGACAAGCGACCCCGGGACGGAACCGTAGTCCGTGGCAGAGAGGAAAAAATAGCAGAGCCCTGGACTCCTAGAGTCCCATGGGATAAAATAAAGTGGACTAACGCAAGGTATTCCGTATCACATCCATGGTGCTACGGATGAGGGTGGACGAATGGTTGCTCGAAAATTTCAGCTTACTGGAGACCGAAGTCGGAGATAGTCGGTACGATGGGGCCCGAGGAATGTCCACAGGTATCTACAGCTACTCCGTACCGTTACCTTAGCTAAGACTCAAGTAATTGTAAAGTCCAGGGAGACATTGTTTTGACATCTTGAGATAAGGTACTTTGCCTTGGGCAATGTAGCAAGACATGCCATCCAAATTTCTGGCTTGTTATCAGTTCGTGTGACGGTTCTTCCAGGAGTTCCTGTAGAGTGTACGGAGTATGTCGAACGGACATGGCATTTTTCTTTGATGTCTCCATCGCAGGAACCCATCCCGAGCCACTGTAAATAATGGGGGTCCCTTGGGGGGTTGGTGCACTTTTGGAGAGCTGGGGCCCTGGGGGATGTGAGTCGGACTCGGGAAACATGGGATGGGACCAGTAAACACCAAGGGAGACGCTCGTTTTGGTGATTGGTGGGGGTCACACGAGGTCACTCACTCGGTGGAGGCTCCTGTCGATGGGTACCAGTGCCTCCAAGTGATTGACCAAGTGAACGGCCCACGGATACCGTCCGCCTGGCGTGATGAATAAATATGAATATGTGGACAGCTCAGAAATCGCGTGATGGCATGACTTTGAGTGTCGAGAGTGTTTGTTCGCTTCGGACATGCACCTAAAATGACCAAACAAGAGAAGACGCCCGCCTAGAGGCATCTCCAAGAGTGGATCCCCTCGTCGGCTACTCTCCCGTTGGCCGTCCGGTTTCCTTCCGGGGGAGCGACACGGACCCACCCGACCTCGAGACTCTGGGATTGGAATGATTGGGATCACGCTACGTACCCGACCCGACCAGTGGGTCTACGACCTGAGTAAGGACTAGGTACGTTCCTCGGCTTAGCTAAGCTTTCGCCCAAGAAGCCGGGGGGCCGCGTGGTTGGAGTACGTACCCTGTCCCGTACCTTTGAGTTCTTGGCAGATATTTCTCCAGTACCTCGTTCAAGACTGCACATTGATAAAGTGCTCCGGGACTCAGAAGCCGTTCAATCCGAATCCAGAACCTTGGACAAAGCTACAAAAGACGTAGGATAGCATGAAAATCCTCTGAAAAGAATATCGGATTCATATACAATTGCGTGCTTGCTTACCTACCACACTGTTGAACTACTCTCTACACGGATACAGATACGTTAGGCCAAACAGGCACCAGCATGTGCAACACAGCGCACATCCCATGCCATCCAGTTCGTCCCTAGGTCTACTTTCAGAGCCGGCTAAGATATTCGCCGTCTCCAAAACCGCCCCAAGGCCCAAGCAGGAAGGTAAGAGGAAGGTAAGCAATCGGACAAATTCAAGGGAACTTTGGAAGCTTAACGTGTTGACCTACAAAGGCTGTCGCGTCCCTGGAGACAGCATGCGTCACCCTCATTCGTACGTCTGGTCAGACTGCTACCTTTTTCAACCGCGTCTGATCCTCTCGCAGCAAAGTGTCAGCACCATAGTTTGTTTCAATTGATTCCATCTCACCGTATTGAAGCCATCGCGCTGCATTTTCCCCAATCGTGTGAACACCATCTACAATCCTAAACCTACAATCGTCATTCGGCTCAACATGCGCGTGGCAAAGGAATTCACCCCCGAGGTGCTCCTGAGCGCACCCCGCCGCGGCGCCGCCGTCCCGAGCCCGGACGGCAAGCTCATCCTCTACACCCAGTCCACTCACAGCTTTGAAGACAACAAGACCCTCAAGGAGGTCCGCCTCATGCATGTCGAGTCCGGCGCCTCTGACCAGCTCACCGACGACGACAAAGTCCACGATGCCCTCTGGCTGCCCGGGACGGCGAGCGACATCGTCTACTTGAAATCCGGCGAAAAAGGCACCACCCAGATCTGGATCGCCAACGGCGCCGAGCCGGCCAAGGAGCACTACGTCGCTGCAGAGTACGACGCGCCCATCAGCGCCCTCAAGGTCAAGGCACTGGGTGATGGGAGTGTCGGGTTTGTCGTTGCTGGGCTAGTCGGGCCCGATGGGTCCCTATTCAATGACAAGACCGAGGAGAAGAGGTCTACGGGGCGCATCTTTGACGATTACCACATGAGGCGTGTAAGTTGGGAGTGAGATTTTTGGCGGGCGTACATCGGTGACATGTTCGTGACTAATAAAACCTCGTGTTAGTGGAACGAACTGATCAAACCTCACAAATACGCTCTCTGGTACTCGACTCTCGTCAACGCCCACGGCAAATGGGGGGTCGCAGGCGAGCTCCAGAATGCCATCAAGGGCAGCCGTCTCGAGGCGCCGTCGGGCATGTACGACGTCAGCGACCCGACGGACGCATTCGACGTCAGCGACAAGGGCATCGCCTTCATCGCCGAGGACACGGGGCTGAAGCCGCAAGACGCGGGCGCCTCCCACGTCTACTACGTCCCCCTCGCATCCTTCACGGCCGCCGCCACTACCAAGCCGAGGCCTCTCGTCATGGGTATATCGGAGGCCAAGGCGTACTACTCCAACGTGAGGTTCTCGCCCGACGGCTCCAAGATTGCTTTTTTGCACGAGCCGCTCGACAACCCCGCAGACGCGAGGTTGTACATGGGACACACGGCGTCCTTTGGCGCCTACGATGTGCACAAGATGATCTTTGGCAGAGGGCCGAGTCTGCCGCCCAAGGGGTTCGAGTTCGCGGGCAGCTCTGATGCCATCTTTTTGCAAACGGAGGACTGCGGGCGGGTGAAGCTGTCGCACGTGGAGCTTCGTCACGGTGCAGAGGCGACGACGCTGACGTCGAGCGGCGTCGTCTCGGCTTTTTACCCTCTCAAGGAGGGCAGCTATGACAAGGTCCTGGTGACGAGCAATAGTTTCCTTGACAGCAGTCTGTGGCAGATTATCGACGTCTCGTTGAACACGGCGCCAAAGATTGTGTCGTCGGCTACGAAGCACGGCGCAAAGTACGGGTTGTCTCACAGCATGGTCTCTGAGTTTTGGTACGAAGGCGAAGACGACAACATTGTGCACTCCTTCATCATCAAACCGGCCAACTTTGACAAGACCAAGAAATACCCTTGGATTCTCTTACCTCACGGCGGGCCGGAATCATCTTGGACGGATTCATGGTCGACAAGGGTTAGTTAGCCAGTTCCCCTCCGCCTCCCTCTCTTACGTTTACCAAAACTTCGAACTAACACCTGTCAACAGTGGAACATGGCCCTCTGGGCCCAACAAGGCTACGTCCTCATCGCGCCCAACATCGCAGGTAGTACAGGCTACGGCGTCGACTTCACAGCCCGCATCTACCGCTCCTGGGGCGGCGCTCCCTTCCAAGACCTCGTCCGCCTCATGGACCACCTGCAACAAGTCCCCTACCTCGACCAGGACCGCGCCGTCGTCGCGGGTGCCTCGTACGGCGGGTACATGATCTCCTGGATGAACGGCCACGACCTAATCCGCCGCTTCGCCTGCTCCATCTGGCACGACGGCATTTTTAGTCTGCCCGTCTTCATGCTGCAGAGCGACATCGTCGATGGCGGGCCCGATTTCGGCGGCCCGCCGTTTTTGTGGGATAATGCCGAGGAGATGGAGCGGTGGAACCCGGCGAGGCCGGAGCTGTTGAGGAATTGGAGGCATGCGCCGCCGACGTTGATCATTCACAGCGAGAAGGATTATCGTTGTCCCATCACGGAGGGGATTGCTGCGTATAATACGCTCATGTGTCAGGGTGTCAAGACGAGGTTCTTGACGTTTGATAATGAGTGCCATTGGGTGCTGAACCCGGAGAACTCGATAGTTTGGCACAAGACTGTTTTCGACTGGATGGCGAGGTTTACGGGGGAGAGCAGGGTTTGAAGGCGGTTTATATGAGATGGGGATGGAATCTATACACGATGAAGATATCCGGTGCGAGGCAGTCAGCAACAATGAACGGAACAGACAATGACAACGTACCAAGATATCAGATGAGATGGATGCTTGCTCTCATCCAAAATATCTCCATCCATAATTTGGACTCTGCGATCTTGAAGTTGTAAGTGCAGTTGGTGATCGGGCACATATACCCCCGAGACCCCCAACCAAGCCATCGGGACTTCAAATCGCCGTCTCCAGCGTCAAAAGTGGATCGCACGGGGGACTTTAAACCTCCGTCTCCTCCACCAATTAGCCGGAATACTCGCGAGTCACAAACCTCCAGCGGCAGCCCGTTCATTCACTCGGCCCCGGACGGTGCTACCCCGAGCTCAGTCGCGACGCCGCAACCCAATCGGCTGACCTCAAGCTCCTCAAAATGTGGGGGGGTTTTGTCTGCGTGCCCCCCGGATGGCGACCCCCGATTCCCCCGGTCTTGAGCCGGGCTCGTGTAAGAGGGAACATCGTAGCCTTGCGAGTTTTATGTATAAGAGTGCGCAACATCACGTCGCTTCCCCTTTTAGTTTCGTAGTATCTCGGCGATTTTGTTTGCAGGCGTGGCATATCAAACTGAAAGGGTTTACTGCATGTTACATGGTAGAAACCTTTTGAGTCCCAGCATCCAAGATGACATCCCTCATCAAGCATGAGCTCAGCAAAGGCTGGGCGTTCAAGGAAGAAGATGACGCCTCGGAGGACGCATGGCTTCCTGTGCCTAGTATCCCCAGCCAAGTCCATGTTGATCTGCTGGCAAACAAGAAGTAAATCCCACCCCTCGCCTTGTACACTTGCAGCCAGAAACAAGACGAACCTGACATCCAAATGCAGAATCCCAGACCCCTTCCTGGATATGAACGAACTCGCCGTCCAATGGGTGGCAGAAAAAACCTGGATCTACCGCCTCGCCTTCCCAACGCCGCCAGACTTTTCAACCGTAGCAGCAGAAGAGGTACCAGGCACTACAGCAGTAACAGACCTCGTCTTCGAAGGTCTAGACACTTTTGCCACAGTCACCCTCAATGGCACGCAAATCCTCACTTCGGACAACATGTTCCTCTCTCACCGCGTAAACGTCACGCAACACCTCAGGACAGACGGTGACCGCACCAACCTCTTGGAAATCGTCTTCGACTCAGCCCTGCTCCGCGGGAGACGACTCGTCGAGGACCACGCGCACGAGCACAGGTTCATCGCCCGGCAAACGGAACAAGGCCGCATCCCCGTCCGAAAAGCGCAGTATCACTGGGGCTGGGACTGGGGTCCGATCCTCGTGACAGCAGGAATCTGGAAGCCTGTGCTTTTGGAGCGGTATGTTGCGCGGATCGATGATGTTTGGGTCAAGAGCGAGGTGAGTCCGGATTTGGGGAGTGTGTCGGGGCAGATCATTGTCAAGACACAGGGGTCCGGCGCGGAGGAGGTCGCGGTGGTGTTTAGCCTTGACGACGAGGTTGTGTTGGAGAAGCGTATAGCTGTTGCGAAGGATGGGAAGGCAAAGACAGACTATCAGCTTGAGAAGCCGAAGCTGTGGTATCCCCTCAACAACGGCCCGCAGACGCTCTACACAATCACGACGACCCTCCACCACGCCTCAGACGTCTCGAATCAAGAGCAACCACTAGCAACACACACCCAAAGAACAGGCTTCCGCCGCGCGCAACTCATCCAAGAACCCGACGCCTTCGGTAAATCATTCTACTTCCGCATCAACAACATCGACGTCTTCGCCGGCGGCTCCTGCTGGATCCCCGCAGACAGCTTCCACGCCGCCATCCCGCCCTCGCGGTACCGCGCCTGGGCCGCCCAGCTGCCCGCCTCGAATCAGAACATGTTGAGGATATGGGGCGGCGGCGTCTACGAGTCTTCGGTATTGATGGAGACGTGCGACGAGCTGGGGGTGCTGGTGTGGCACGATTTCTGCTTCGCGTGCGGGAGTTACCCGACGTACCCCAGTTTCCTGGCCAGCGTCGAGGCGGAGGCGCGGCAGAATTTGGCGAGGCTGAGGAGGCATCCGAGTATTGTGATGTGGGCAGGAAATAATGAGGATTATCAGGTGCAGGAGAGGTATAAGCTCGAGTATAGGTTCGAGGAGGACAAGGACCCGGAGTCGTGGTTGAAGTCCGGGTTTCCGGCGAGGTATCTGTATGAGTATCTGCTGCCCAAGATTGTGGAGGAGGAGAGCCCTCATGCGGTGTATCATCCGAGTAGTCCGTGGGGTGATGGGAAGCCTACAGCTGATTCGACTGTTGGGGATATTCATCAGTGGAATCGTAAGTCCCCCCCCCCCCTTTTTTTTTTCTTTTCGTAACCCCCTTTCTTGGGCCACGCAAGCTAACACAACCAGTCTGGCACGGCGCAATGAATAAATACCAAGAATCCCACCTACTAACCGGCCGCTTCGTCTCCGAGTTCGGCATGGAAGGCTACCCGCACCTCACCACCACCACCACAATGCTCACCTCGCCCGCCCAGCGCCGCCCGGGCTCCATGGCGCTCGACTTCCGCAACAAAGCCTACGACCACGAACGGCGGATGATGACGTACATTGTCGAGAATTTCCGCGTGAATTACGGCCTCGAATGGTTCACCTACCTCACGCAGCTGATGCAGGCCGAAACCATGACCTTTGCCTACAAGGCCTGGCGGAGGGATTGGGGTTCCCCCGGGAAGAGAGGGTGCGGCGGCGCGCTGGTGTGGCAGCTGAATGATTGCTGGCCGACGGTGAGCTGGGCGATTGTGGACTATTGGCTCGTGAGGAAGCCTGCTTTTTATGCGATTGGGAGGGCGCTGAGGGGGGTTGATGTCGGTGTCGGGAGGAGAGTGGACGAGTGGACGAAGTGTCATGCTGATCCGACGCTCGGGGCTAGGGGCACGGAGTTTGAGGTATGGGTTGCGAGTGCGAAGACTGATGATGTTGCTGGGGAGCTTGGTGTGCGGTTCATTTCTATTGAGACGGGTGAGGAGGTTAGAGACAGGATTGAGAAGAAGGTTGTTGCGGAGGGGAATGCCACGACGGAGGTTGTTGAGAAGTGCAAGGTCGAGGCTTTAAGGGAAACGTTTGGGGATGCGAGTGTACCGTTTTATCCGGAGGAAGATGACCCGTTTGTCATCCATGCGACGCTATTTGTTGATGGGAAGGTTGTGGCGGAGGATACGGCATGGCCGCATCCGTTGAAGTATATCGACTTTTCGGACCGCAAGGTGCGTGTGGAGGTGAGGGACGGGACGCTGGTTGTCTCTGCTGAGAGGCCGGTCAAGGGGTTTATTATTCAGGAAGAGCGCGGGATGAAGTTGAGTGATAATGGGTTCGATGTGGTGCCGGGCGAGGAACGGGTTGTACGCGTTGATGGTTATGATGTGCAGAAGTTGCGGTGGACGTATTTGGGCGCACCAGAGGTGTTTTTGGGACTGTCTGCATAGACTCTGGCATATTTACGACAGTTCAATATGATCACTAGATGAAACGAGTATTGAAGAGGGAAATAAATTCAATTGGGCATTTCGTCATGTCTCATTACGGGCGTACAACTACAACTACTCGAGACAATCTGAATTAATTATCAATCTTCCCGAAAGCGCCATTGGTTAGATGATGTCTCCTCCGAACCCTCCACCAAAGCCTCCGCCAAAACCACCACCAGAGCCTCCGAAGGGGTTTCCGCGCCCCCCACCGTGTCTGGGCATACCGCCCGGACCAAGGGGGTCCCATCTGGCCCCCGGTGGCGCTTGGGGATCGTAGCCGCCACCTCCCTGGGCACCTGGCCCTCCGAAAAGGGGGTCATCAAATGTGGGATGCATTCCGCCGCCGCCTCCGGGTCGGGGGAGACCGCCGCCACCGATAAAAGATGCTCTCAGCGGGTCGTTGGGACCAAGACCAGGGGGGTTGAGGTCGTCGTGGCCGATATTGTAGGGTGATCGACCGGGAACCCCCAGTGGACGAGGGGGTCTGTTGATTTCATACTCGTCTTCAAATCCGGGCGGTGGGAAGTCTCCGGCAGGAATGGGTCGTCTGGGAGGCTGGGCGAGAGGATCGTTGACGGGGTATGGGCGCGCGGGATCAGGCAGGTCACCGGGTGCTGGCCGTCCAGGACGACCGGCCTGGGCACGGCCTTCTCTCTGTGCGTTATCGGCTGCGTCCCTGTCATCGGGAGACTCTTCATAGCCTTCAACTTGCAACTTGGGAATGAGCTTTTGGATAATCTCGGTCTTGAATTGATCAATCAGCTTGGTGACGGCAGACTCTGATGCGAAAGCTTCCTTGAGCTTCTCGACTAGGTCGCTCCTGTCCTCGGAGCCGTCCTCGGTCAGTGTGATGCGTAAAGGCAGCTTCGCGTTGTTGATGACGTCCTTTGTCGTGATTTCAAATCTGTGGATGACATCGTGGCCGACGGCGAGCCCGCTGATTTCGACTTTGCCGCCGACTTTGCTAATCCGGATAATGGACGTCATGGACGACTGCTTGTGGGCGTAGACAAAGCGGAGAGAGCCATAGCCGGCGTTCCATGATGCTGGTAGACGCGGGGCGAGGCTTTGGACTTCTTCTTCTGCGGTGGGTGTCAACTGGGGTCCTGGAGCACGGTTATCAAGGACAGTTGCCATACCTATCCTCTTCTCCTCGTCGAAGCCCAGAAGACGGAACTTGAGGGACGCCATGCAGGCATGCGTGAGGAGGGCAGGGAGCTCATAGCCGCTGCTAATGTCGGAAGTGGTGTCGCCCTTGGGGTGAGTAGGCAGGGTTTCTGCCATTTGTTGCAGTACAGACTGCGCGGTGAGTGGATTCGCCATGGCGGGGTTGTGCTGAGGAGGGGTAGATTCCTGAGTTCTACGTCTGTGTGTTTGTAAATGGTGAGATTCAAAAAGAAGTCTGAGAGAAACTTCGAGGCTTATGTAGACTGTGAATGGGGCTTAGACGGTATTGGGCTTCGTTGTTTGGTGTTGGGTTGGGCTTTACAGACGGCAGTGGTTGACAAAGTGTAGAAACGTCCAGGGGACAGGAGGGAGCTAAGCCCAAGCTTTGGAGGGGTTCGCAGAGTGGCGTCAGAGACTCGCTGCCTTCAGCCCTACGAGTGGATTAGCCCCACATCATCACAACCAATCGTCGGCTGCCTCCCTGCTGCCTAGATGGGTCAAGCTGAGTCACGTGCTGCTTCAAATCATGTGACATGGCGTGGAGGTCGCATCGTTCCTCGTCGCGTTCCCCTCCTCACTACCGCGACTCTTGTCTTTGATCTGTACCCCTAACAATTGACAGGAAGCTGTATACATGGGACCGAGCTCTCATCTCGCTTTTCCATTGCAAAACCACCCGTCTAGCAAGAAAGCTTGACCCAGCTTAAGAGATTCAACGGGAGCCATGTCTTCCAGTTCGAGACCACCAGACTCGGCTTCCGCACCACCAGTGGCCATCCCACGGCCGCAGGCAAACACCATCCTGACTTCGTTTACAACATTCCTCACGCTCACGATACATACGATACTGTACTACAGGCGCCTCTACCCGCAACAGACCTTTCTCATGACCAAGGCCCATAACCTGCCAGTACCCCAATCCCGGCACCCAGCCCTCTGCGAATGGATCAACTCGGCTCTTGCTGCGATACAGGATCAGCTTGCACTCGGCAGCGTCTCCAAAGTCTGTGTTGTCATCCACGCAGCAGAGACAATGTCTGTCGTTGAGAGATGGGTCTTTGATGTCACCAACTTCCCCGTCTGGGCTACGGGCAAGGGCAAGGAGAGGCTTGGCCAGGCCCAGAGGTTTCAGCGACGGGAGGAAGACGACGATGACGGCTCGGTGAATTGGGTTGATGTGAACGAGGCGTATAGAGGAGCCCTCAGGCGTTTGGCCTACGCTGCCGAGATGAAGGGGCCATTGCCAGAGGGATGTACCTTTACCATGGCTGTTGAGCTGCGAGACGAAGCGCCCGCGCCGATAGGGGTAGGCACCACGTTTCCTAACTTCTTGTCAACTTGATCTGTACTTACATTCGATACAGCACCCTCAACCTTGGATTCCTTCTGAACCCGCGCTTCAGCCCGCCTCAAAGATGAACCCGGTACCAGGCCCAATTATCGGAGGCGCCTCTACCACACCACTTCGCTCCGTCGAAGCTGGTCCACTCTTCTTCGAGTGTTGGATCGAAGAAAGCAGACCTCCAACTTCGCCACCTTCTACTCAAGACTCCTACTTTTCATGAAGATATGACCACTTCGTTTTCTTTCCCGATGCGTACTTAGTGAAAGTCAACATCGATGCAGTAACACTGGATCAACGATATCAAGTTTGCCGCCCTCTCTTGAAGTATCACGGGCCGCCAAAAATCGCAACTCGAATCTGCAGCCAATTGTAGCGAATGACAGTTCAGAACATGCTTGGAGACACCGAAAGCCCCTCAAAACTGACAGTCACAGCCGGAAGCCATTGTGGGAGAGGTAGATTTGGCCACCCGGAAGCTATTGCCCTATTGACTTGTCAACTCAGCGTACAGCCCCTTTCAGACTACCTCCTGATAGCCACGGCGAGGGAGATGAAAATTCTTTCAAATCTCAACAGGCATGAGCGCCTTGTTGCTAATAGAAGAGCCTGTGAGCTGAACACTTGCCTGGTTGCGTATCAACCGTTGAGCGTCGGGCTCTCGCCGACAACAACATGCAATAGTCCGCAGGGGGTAATACGTTGCGGTGGAATTGCGACAGAGGAAACTACCCGTTCAATAACCACAGAAGCCGGCGACAAGGCATGTGTGGAGAGTCGCAGGTGCTTATCGGTCGCTATTCGCGTTGGGTGTATCACGTCTTCTCCCCTGTCAATGTCGCAAGGTTGCCGGCAACGCCCCTCTGGATCTCGGCACATATAGCCGGCGCTACTTTGACTGACGGATAGTCTCCGACTGAGAGCCGCGAAGACCTTTCGAATGAGCTGAATTCAGTACGAAACAGATCTGAGGTACAATCCTCGAACCCTTTACGGATAGCATGCAACGTCGTGAATCGTAGTCAATCCCCTCAGTCCGAGGTCATCGGCCTGCTCCACCAGCACACCATACCACGCGAAGCACGTCTTCGCCTCTGACTTTGATATCATCATGAAGGATTCGCGGGTCTTTGCCGCAGGAATTTCTTGTTGATTCGTATAAGTACATCAGCAAATAATAGTCAAATTTCATCCTCGATGCCAATTAGGATCTGCATGCGTAGACTTTGCATTTAAAAAGACGTTGGGATTTTGCAGCTTGTCATTTGACTGCAACAGAAGCAACATGGGCGTTCCAGAGCAAAACCCAATACCAGTCGCGGCTGAATTGCCCGCGGCTCAGCAAAGAGGCAACGGCTCCGGATCTGAAGGTGTTCTTACCCCAGTTGCGAGCAATCCAAAGGATGATATTGATCCCAAAGACGAGAGGGCTTTCGTAGGTTCCCTGTATGCTCTGTGTAGTGAATGCAGTGACTGAACCAGTGTACAGCTTTGGCGCCTGGACTTGTTCTTCTTGACAATTGGTTTCTTGGGCTACATGTTTAAGTGAGTGTGGACTGAGTCTCCGCCGAGTATAGTGAAGACTGACATCCTCTGATAGATACATCGACCAAACGAATATCGTACGAATTCTGCTCCTGTGCAGTCTGGCAAACTCAGGCACTGACACCCGGGTACTTTAGAGCAATGCATACGTCTCAGGGATGAAAGAGGACCTCAATCTCTTGGGGAATGAGCTGAACTACTTTACGACGTTCTTCAAGTGAGCCTACACTTTCTACAGGACATCAAAGAGGCATTCTAATAGTGATGTGTCGCGCAGTATCGGTTATATGATCATGCTGTATCCGTCATGCATCATCATATCCCACTTTGGCCCCTCGAAATGGCTGCCGGCATGCGAGGTCAGTCTATTAAGAAAGCATACCAAGTCACGACATACTAACCAACACATTAGCTCATCTGGGGCATCCTCACATGCTGCCTGTCACTTGTTACCAGCGCGAAGCAGGTAACCCATCCTCGGACCATTGCACCGTATTCAGCGCATCGCTGACTCCGATCTAGGTTTACGGTCTTCGTTTCCTCATTGGCTTCTTTGAGGGCACGGCTTGGCCCGGCTACTTTACCCTTATCAGCCAATGGTACATGCCTCACGAGGTCGCTCTCCGCATGAGTCTGTACAACATTGCTCAGCCAGCTGGGGCGATGCTTTCAGGCGCGATGCAAGGGGCGCTTTCAACAAACTTTGAGGGTCTGCATGGACGTTCTGGCTGGCGCTGGGCGTTCATAATCAATGTAAGCTGCGGCGTGAACCTCAAGCCGATGCTTGGTATGACTGACTTGACCTCTTTTCAGGGTGTTTGTACCATAGCTGTAGCTCTCGCTGCGTTCCTCATTCTCCCCGGCTATGTGAGTCCTTTCGTGTCCCTAAACGGATTCTCATAAGGTACCGAAAACAGGATTGCTAATCGATGAAAAAGCCCGAACGCCCAAATCCCCTGGCAAAGTTCTACTTGAAGCCGAAGCACATTGAGATTGCCCTTGCCCGTGCTCGGAGGGTCGGTCGCAAGCCTCAGATTGGCATCACGATCAAGTCTTTTGTGCGATGTTTCAGCTTCTGGCAACTTTGGGCATTTGCTAGTGAGTGTTGAATCTAAATGATCTTGAGTATCTATACTGATATTGTGCATTACAGTCGCGTGGCCCATTGGCGGTAATTTTACGCCAGCCAGTTACTTCAATTTGTGGCTCAAGTCTTTGAAGAACGCAGATGGATCGGTCAAATAGTAAGTACTCGCCTTGCTCTTTGAATTAAAAGAACGTGCTGATCGTTCCTTCAGCTCTGTTGCCATGCTCAACTACTTGCCCATCATTGGCCAAGCCGTCCAACTCGTGGCAGAGCTGCTCTTCAGTGGTTTGAGTGACTACTTTGGTGTTCGACTGCCATTCTTACTTCTGCATTCGGTAATTATCCTGAACCTTGAGACTTTGTTCTGCTTGGCTGATATCTTGCAGGTCATCAACATCACTTCGCAGATCATCCTCATCATACGACCCAGTAACCAACAAGCCTACATGGCCGGCTGGTACATGAATTACATCGGGGCGTAAGTAAAAGCCGACCCAAAGCCCCCAGAATACCATGCTAAAATTGGCCAGTGTCTCCACGATGTTGCTATGCTCTTGGGCATCTGCTCACCTCCAAGGCGAGCCTGAGGTGCGCACCGTCCTCTTCGCCAGCGGAACTGTCCTCGCCTACATCATGAGTGCCTTCATCCCCATTGCCGCGTTCCCGGCATCCGAGGCCCCGCACTGGCGTATCGGCGCGAAGCTGTATCTTGCCTTTGCATTGGTTTCGGCTGTCATTTTCATTGGGATCCACTTTGCTTTCAAGTGGGAGGAGAAGAAGAAGGCGAAGGAGGCGGTCAAGGAGGATTCGACAGGCGAGCCGGATAACGCGCATTCGGGTGTCAAGTCTGTGGGTACTGGGGAGACTGACAGTGCTGTTGCTGGCAACGAGGCTTTGGGGAAGTTCCAAGACAAGCCCTGATTGCTGATGAATACAGGGGCCGGAGTGTAGCTTACAAATGATGGAAGGATCTTTGATGCTCGGTCTACTGAAGTTAGAAGCTAGCACTCAAATGGCCGAAAACAAAATAGGGAGACGGATGCTCCTCTGCACCGAAAACTTCCCATAGGAGCACCGAGGTACATCCCATTCAACGTCGCAGCATCGAGGCGATATAGTACACGAGAACCTCCCTGACACCAGTTCTGTCCCGTGTTGTTGACATTCTTCCAACCTCACTGCTGTCTAGAGTACTATTGTGATTGACTTATATCCAGAAAGAATTTCCAAGTTCCATGGTTCCATCTAAGCCTCATACAAAGCAGTTCAGGCTACTGTTCCCCTTGACCCCCGGGCATTCGACTCAAAACGGCACAAAGACATTCATTTCTCAATTTCGGCGTAAGGGGGAAAATTCTTCGTCGCGGTGAAGACATCATGTTCCTTCCACTTCACTCTCAGCGTTGAGGCGGGTCTCCCTGACACTCAGTTCTCAGGACCAAATTCTTTACATCTCGTAGGACGAAGATTTCTACACAATACTTTGGCTTTCCAGCGCGTTCATTCTCCTTCAGCCTGCAACTCGTATGTAATAACTAAAATCAGAAGTGAAGGGCAACCCGCCGGATTTGAAATAGAAAGATTGAGAGGTCTTAAAGTCGGGTGCCACAGTTTGATCATCACGATACAGACTTATGTTGTCTATTCAGTCTTCAATAATCGCCCTTGGGCCTTGACTCTATATTCGTAGGGGACTTTCTCCAAATATTGATAGTTTCATGACTGCAATAGCCCCATATGCTGCAACATGGGCTTGCCGCTATCCCAAATCAACTCCTACACCCATCGATATGTTGGGTGACGGTACTCTCTGTGTTGAGGAGGCCAATCACACGACGTGTCAGGTACAAATACTTGCGTGTTTGGGCAGACAGGTCTAGTAGTACCTTGTCGAAGAACACTGTGGATCACCGCCCTCCACGAAGGTGGACGCAAAGGGCACACACATCATCATCCGTAAGTTGACATGATCACAGTAATCACATACTCCATCTAGATATCTGACTCTACATGATAGTCATCTGCAGCCAAGGTCGGTAAATCGCCTGGCTACCTGCGAATCCTCGATCACATCATCAATGGTCTTCAAGAGCCTTCAAGATTTCAACACTTAAAGAATCTCGAAGAGGCGACGTTTTTGTCCGAGACTCGGGAGGCTCAGGCCGTCTTCAATCTAAGATATTAGAGGCTATCAACCCTGAAATTCTTGCCATGCTGCAGATTGACAGACTCGATCTGGAATCTCTGCTTCAGGCGAGAACGTACGAATATACAGCCGACGGCTCGTGTCCTTGGGCAGTTCATCTTCATGTCATCTGCAACCAGAATGGTACTGCCGGTGTATACGCTGGCCAGTCACAGCTCCTCGAAAGACGCATCAGAGAACACACCCGAGAGAGGCTCCAGTTCCGGCAGAGGCTTAAAGCTGAGCGAAACATTGGGGATCATGAAAAGTTGCCCTCCAGTCACGTTACCTTTTGGGTTCTGAAGGGAACGCATGATATCTGGCTCAAGTTCGCACAGCTACCAAGGCAACCCACCACCGAGTTTGAGAGAGATCGACAACAACTCTTCTTGAATATTCTCGAAGAGTACGCTGCCCTTGTCTTCCGGACCCTGCCGCCGAGCGAGCTAGCTTTGAGGCTGCCCCCAGAATGTGAAGTTCAGCCTTATCCTTGGGCTGGGCTCAACATCTGTGACCCCCTGGACCAGCTGATAAACGGTCCGAGGTCGTACGCGAAGAGCTCCAAAAATAGCAAAATGGGAAGACTTGGACTTCAACTTCATGAAAAGTTCTGGAGGCATGTGGATATCTCGAAAGGCGATTCAGAGACTATTCCCATCGTCTGCGGGGAGTGTAGGGATGCATCGACTGGTCGCCTGGACGATGAGCTCCTATTTGAAGTATCATCAGGCGCTTACCTAGCCATGTCGAAGCACTGCAGCAAATGCAGCCGAAGGCGCATTCATGTGCCAAGGGATCAGTCCCGCTCCTAGAAGACCTTGGATTCCGCCAAGAGGGCGTATCTCAGATCAAGAACTCAGCTTCCAGCTAACGTGGTCGATCTTGCGATAATGACCTCTTCCGAAATTGCGCTGTGGATTCAGTCACACGAAGTCGAAGCCTTGCCCTCGGAAAGAAAATGCAGCCTCTTGGCGCGAGCCGAAGACATTCGGAAGAGTTTTTTGGACATTCAGGACTCCTCTTCCAGCCCCCAATTGGCCAGTAAGCAGATGCTGAGCTCTGAAACGTGTGGAAGTGAGGCGGCTGGTTCTGAGCGTGATCAAAAAGTTGTATTGCCACAATGGATGCTCAAGAGATCTTGGCGGCAATGAGAAGATGGCGAGATATGGCAAAAGTTAGGCAGTATGCATATCAATATATCCACCACGTAATATTCCTCTGCAAAGACCAAGAAACATCGGCCGGTTAGCCCGTAGCGTTTATATCCTTAACTGTCCACCTTGGGATTTACCGTACATCGAACTACTCCGTTGGCCTTGATCTCTTGAATCCTATAGTCTGATTATACCCACGGCTCAATTGACGATAGCTTGTCCAGTCTGTGGAATAAAGTCAAGAACAGCGACTCTGATTCATTCACAACTCCAAGTCATTGAACATATTATTTCATTTCCCGTCATGCTTGTGTCGCGATCGAGGTGAAAAGTAGTCAACCTCGCTTTCAGGAATAACCTCTATGATCCTCGAATGATCCCGCCCCCGACCTTCAAAGTACTCCCTAAGATCATATTGCCGCGTAGGCCTGCCGCGAAACTGCTCCCATCGATTACTCCCCGCCTGTGACTGATGATCAGGGCGATGCTGATGCTTCCCGATAGTAGCGGCATCGCTCTTTGGGTGACTGTGTCTGTGCTCGCTTATTACCGGACTACTGCGTCTTGGTACATCCATGCCCCGCCTTGTCGTCTGATTGTCTCTGTTGCTGCTTGTGCTGGAGGAGGAGGAGGACGAACTCGAACTTCTTTCGTTGTGTTTCTTGTATCGATCGTGATGTGGTGTCCTCACAGGGATGGGCATAGGAATTCTCCTGACAGGAGGAGGACTTCGTCTCATCGGGATCGGACTCCGCCTCACAGGCCCAGATCCCCAACCCATACGCCTCCTGGCTCCTCCACCGCCGCCTCCCCCTCCACCAGGAGGCCGTCTTGGAGGACGTACGTCAACAATCTGCGCCGGCCCGTCGCCCTGAAAGATCTGCTTCACCATCATGCGCGTATAAGTCACCTCCCTCTCCGTCCGCCTCGCCATGACCCGCATAACCTCGTCCCCAAGCTTCTTCACATCATCCTTGATCTGCCACCAAATAAACCGATGCGCAAAGTCACACTTGTAAATTGCACTCCAGTCCGCGAAACTCCCTTGCTCCCCGTGCTTCTCGAAATCGACCCGGACCTTCTCGTCGAGATCCGCCTCGCCCCACGACGCACCGTTGTGAATGGCCTCGGCGCGGTACCCGCTCGCGATGAGAAACGGCCGCTCGAGCTCTTTGAAGGTGCGCCAGAGATCGCGGAGCGTGAGGTAGTGCAGCGGCAGCGTCTGTTCCGCGTAGGAGAACGCCGAGCGGGCTTCGTGGCTGGCGTGCCTGTCGCTCAGGTTGAAGATGCGCTGGCGCAGCTTCGTCTTTGCGCGGATTTCTCGAGACTGGTGTCGTAGGGCTTGTCGCTCTTCGCAGAGTTGTTGTCGAAGGTTTCCTAGCGAATCTCGTATTTCGTTAGGAGCCGATCTTATCGTGGCAACAAAATTGCCGTAGAGGGCTATCAAGTTGAGAGTTGTGAGGGCGAAGGAGAGAATGCCCGTCACGAAAGACACCCAGTTCAGTGAGTTTGGTACTTCGGCCGCCATCTGAGGCTATCGATGGCTTCCATGCAAGATCATGATGATTTCTGGTCTCATGTCTACAACTTGCTATTCATGTGCTGTGCTCGCGTCTTAAGGTAGATGAGAAAGAATGAAGCTGGGTTGCGTGTAAGACTTCACGTGGTTGCTAGTGTCTCTCATCAGCGCTACTTTGATGTTAGCCCGAACCAGCTTAGATGGTGACATAGCGTTGCCAGTTGTCCAAGGATCGTGAGCTATCCGTCAAACAAAACTCAGAATTTCTCCCATTGATTCGCTTGCAAGGCTCAACCCATGGGAAGTAGACTGCATGAACTGCGTTTCTATCCTAAGGCCGGCACGTTATGTCTAGTCGCCTCGAACCAACCTCGCCACAGCAGATGAGCACTACACTTTCGACAGCAAAGCAAGGGTGTGCTTGCCATGAAGTCACAAGCCAATGCACCGGATGATACGGGTATGAACCTGTTATCCACAGCCAATGCGACTGACGTACAGCTTTGGATATCCAACGCTGGAAGCACAAGGTGTCATGCTGGGGAGTAGGAACTAGAGAGATCCTTCAGGCTACTTATGCGGCAGATGATCCTGTAGTGATGAGACTGCCTTACGACATTCTGGAGAGTTTCGGTCTGCAGCGTTGGTTATAGACCCAATATGAAGGCGATGTAACGGCTGCTCTCTTTTGGTGTTGTTGGCCGCGGAGTCATACTGGTGGAATCAAGCTATGGTTCTCTGGCCAAGTTCATCCCAGGCAAAATGCATTCCCTCTATGGGAGGGTTGACGCACTTCGCTACGTTGGTGAAATTCATGTACTGTGTTACATTGAAAGAAACACTGGCAAAGAAAATAATGATCTCAATGTGCCCTAGGTCAACTTGTGTTTCTTCGAGGAAACGAGGGTGTAGTCAAAGGAGCTATGAGGAAGTCGTCCCCCACCTCGGACAAGGGTGAGCTCCAGCACTCTTATCGATAAGCACTGACGTCCATCCCGCCGTGGGGTAAGGTAGACTCACTGGCGCAATCCAAAAATTTCCCGACCTCAAACCGCAAACCACAAAACCTCGGGCGACCAAGAGTCACGAATTGACCAACAACCACCACAATGACCGCCCCAACAGCAACAATGGAGCCCGCGGTCGACGATTCCTTCGACCCAGACCCCGTTGTCGCCTCCTACGACGTCTTCTTCAACCCCTCCCTCCCGCAGGGCCGCAAGCTCTGGGTCCTCCAGCAGCCCAACCGCACCGACCCGCGCACCACCGCCCCGACCGAGATGCGCCTCAAGGGCCGCTCCGGCATGGTCGAGGTCGACGTGCCCCTCGACTACACCCAGTCCTACGACAAGGAGAAGGGCATGAAGTGGGGCCGCCAGCTCAAGGCCAGTCTCGAGTCCAAGAACGGCGGCACACACGGCCTGTCTGGCGGCTTCGGCGTCGGCGCGCCGCCGCCTAGGCAGAAGAGACGCGGCGACGTCGATTTGGAGGACGACTTGTACCTCGAGTGGCCCGAGGCGGTGCGCCAGGATAAGGTCCTCCGCACGCAGACGCTCGGCGGTCAATGTCCTGACCATAAGGAGGTTCAGTACATGATTGGCGTCTTCCAAGGAAGTGAGTCCTCACCTCCCCCTTTGCCTTCCTTTCACAGCCGTCTCCGTTTTTCCTCGGTTTACTGACCATAATTGCCCATGTTCAGAGGACCTCCACCTCACCCCCGTGACGAACCTCGTCCACCTCCGCCCCCAACTCCACCACGTCGACGCCGTAGCCCAACAAGAGCGCAACGCCTCCGCCGCAGCGGCCAAGGAATCCGCCGCGGCAGCAGCCGGGCCCGGGGGAGCAGGCGGCGCGGGCCCCCAATCGGCCGCCGCGCGCGCGATCCACATGACCATCAAGACGACCCAGGACGGTGCCACCGCAAAGAGCGAAACCATGGCCGACCGCCTCCGCTCCGTCCAGATGGAGAACTGGCGCAAGCTCAAGTACACGGACGAGGACAACGAGGCGGCCTGGGAGATTTACCAGGAGAGTCTCATCATGCGCGCTCCTGGAGAGAAGCCCGCACCCATCGCCGACGAAGAGGACGAGGAAAAGAAGAAGAAGGCCGCCATTGACGGGGCCGAGGAGGAGAAGCCCGTAATGGATCTGGCTGACAAGGTTGCGAGGTTGGAGACCAAATGGGGCGACGACGAACTCTTGGAGGCTGTCAGCGGTATCAAGAAGCCAAAGATGCCGACAAAGGCGGAACTGGAAGCCGAGGCGGCGGCGGCTGCCGCTGCTCAAGAACAGGCGCGCAAGGTGAAGCCTAAGGCCCGGGGTGCTGTGGGCGCACGGCGTGGAGGCAAAGCAAGAGCTGCGCCTGCGCCTGCGCAAGCGTCCTCGAGCATGGATCTCACATAATGGACAGCCAGTCTACCCGACAGAGGGTTCGATTTGCATAGCTCAGGCGTTACGGTGTTATA